AGATCTAGGGGTTATATTTGACCCGAAACTTTCATTTAACAACCATGTTAACTATGTAATTGCGAAAGCATACTCAGTACTTGGTTTTGTACGTCGTAATAGCTCTAATTTCTCTGACCCATATACTTTCAAAGCATTATTTATAAGTTTAGTGCGTTCTCATCTCGAATATGCCGTATTCGTTTGGAGACCACATAGCCAACTTTTTATAAAAAGACTGGAACGTATACAAAAAGTTTTTCTTAAGTATGCTCTTCGGTCACTGAAATTTGAAAGTCCTGTTCCTTCGTACGCTTCGCGTCTCAAGCTGATAAACTTACAATCTTTAGAAAGCCGGAGATCTATCCTTTCTTTAACCTTTACATTTAATGTTATTCAAGGTGTCGTCGATTGCCCCTATCTCTTGGAACGGATAAGCTTCAATGTACCCAGGCGCAATCTTCGAGTCTCTTATCCATTTTACTTGGCAAAAGTCAAGACAAGATTTTCCAGTAATGCTCCCTTGGCGAGATCTATGCGAGAACTTAATATATTATCGGAAAGAATCATAATTGATTTCTCTATGACAAAACAAGCTTTTTTAAATCTCCTTCACAATACTTTGTAATGTTAATATTGTACTAGCATTAGCAAAACCATTTATCTCCTAGTCTGTAAGAAATATTGTTTCATAGACAAAATAAATAAATAAATAAATAAATAAATAAATAAATATGTTAATATATGTATGTATGTACATACATATTCCTATAAATATGTGAATATTATATTAGGACAGCATTTAAATGGACAATAATAATTTATTTACATACATAAGCAGAGATTATTTAATACAATATTTTTTAGAGTTATGTACATACGTAATATGCATATTTATATATGCCCTTCATAAAGATAATTCAAATTCTTTTTTTTTTTTTTTATTTAGTTATTATTATTATTAATAAATTTAGCATATATACATTTGCATTACAAGGAAGAATATACATAACTTTACATTGTTTAATAATGTCTACATTCTGTAGTTTAAGTTAACTAGAGGCGGATGCAGACTGCCTACTACTAAAACTCAATTTGTGGGGAGTCTAACTTAATTATTACAGTAAGTATTGTTGCAATTTAAGTATAATAAGAATATTTTTAAACAGGATAAGTATGATTATGAGCAATACATAAGAGTGCGCCAAGTTCAATGTAGTTGAAATTTAAAAGCCATGACTTTATATTTTTCAGAAATATATTCTTGTTTCGAATATTCCTGAAATTGTTTGGTAAGCAGTTATATAGCCTCGGAACAACCGAGGTATAAAAATGTAAGAAATGTGTTAGGTTATGCGGTGGAACCCAGGACAAATTAAAATGGTTAGCTCTAAAATTATAGTTTACAGAGTTTCTGTTAAATAAATAGCCATTAGAAATGAAAAATGTTTTCAAGACCTTATAGAAATATAAATGCCGGAGCGGTAGGATGTTTAGACTTTTAAAAAGTATGAAACTACTGTCAGTTCTCTTTTTTCCACAGATGATGCGGATAATGTTCTTTTGGGCTTGGAATAAGGAGGAAACTTTATTTTGATATGCCCATCCCCAACAATGTATTCCATATTGCAATTTAGAGTGGAATATTGCATGATAGATTGAGGCTAATAGCTTCTTTGACAAAAGTTTTTTAGCATGTACATTTGTCTTGTGACAAGCAAAGAATAACGCTCTAAGCTTCTTATATGATCAGCCNATACATTTGCATTACAAGGAAGAATATACATAACTTTACATTGTTTAATAATGTCTACATTCTGTAGTTTAAGTTAACTAGAGGCGGATGCAGACTGCCTACTACTAAAACTCAATTTGTGGGGAGTCTAACTTAATTATTACAGTAAGTATTGTTGCAATTTAAGTATAATAAGAATATTTTTAAACAGGATAAGTATGATTATGAGCAATACATAAGAGTGCGCCAAGTTCAATGTAGTTGAAATTTAAAAGCCATGACTTTATATTTTTCAGAAATATATTCTTGTTTCGAATATTCCTGAAATTGTTTGGTAAGCAGTTATATAGCCTCGGAACAACCGAGGTATAAAAATGTAAGAAATGTGTTAGGTTATGCGGTGGAACCCAGGACAAATTAAAATGGTTAGCTCTAAAATTATAGTTTACAGAGTTTCTGTTAAATAAATAGCCATTAGAAATGAAAAATGTTTTCAAGACCTTATAGAAATATAAATGCCGGAGCGGTAGGATGTTTAGACTTTTAAAAAGTATGAAACTACTGTCAGTTCTCTTTTTTCCACAGATGATGCGGATAATGTTCTTTTGGGCTTGGAATAAGGAGGAAACTTTATTTTGATATGCCCATCCCCAACAATGTATTCCATATTGCAATTTAGAGTGGAATATTGCATGATAGATTGAGGCTAATAGCTTCTTTGACAAAAGTTTTTTAGCATGTACATTTGTCTTGTGACAAGCAAAGAATAACGCTCTAAGCTTCTTATATGATCAGCCCAATTCAGCCTCCATAATTCCATAATTTAAACCAAGGTATTTAAAGCTTTTAACACAGTCCACATAATAGCAACCTTTAGAGCACGATGAGGTGTTACTGAACATTTGAGAGGTCCTGGTGTCCTTACATATGTCTTTGGATATCTTTAGTTTTTTACAATCAGAGCTATGAAATTTAAGATTGTTAAGTTTAGGATCTATTCCACCAACACTGAAGTACATTATTTTAGTTTTGTCGCTGATTACCAGTTTGTGCATAGAAAACCAGTGCCTTAAAATACTCAAATCATTATTAATGTATACAGCCATATCGAGCATTACTTTCTTCACAGTAAATATTTAAATTTAAAAATGGAATCTGAACTTCTTTTAGTTTATATGGATTTTGAAGGAGCGTTTTCAACTCTTCATCATTGTTTTGTTCAACGTATAATTTCTTGAGACTAAGTTCTTGTTCGAATGCTTCAACTTCTGGCGTTCTTGACAAAGTATCTGCTACTATATTATCTTTGCCAGAAATATGCTCTAAATCATTAGTAAACTGTATGTATGCAAGATGTCTAACTTGACGAGAACTTCTTTCTGTTTTTGAATTGAGGACATAAGTTAATGGTTTGTGATCGGTATACACACTAGAATTTCGCACTTCAAAAAGTCTCTAAAATGTTTAATTGTTCCATAAATCACTAAAAGTTCTCCATCAAATGCACTGTACTTTGTCTTTGAAGCTGTTAGCTTCTTTGAGTAAAACGCTAATGGCTCTGTGCAATTTTTGATATGTTGTTGAAGAACCGCACCAAACGTTAACATGGATGCGTCTGTTGAAATAGAGAGCCTAGCGTTAACATCAAAATGATTTAAAAAGTACTTCTTTGACTTTCATAAAGTTTGTTTTAGCATCAGCATCCCAAACAAGATTGTGACTTTTCGTATGATAGGGACTTCTTGTTGTTACTGATGCTGCATTTATGCTCACTGCTGCCAATATGAATGATGTTATGGTTATTTAAATACAGTTATCACTTAACGTGTCGCTGCCGCTGTTGTAGAAGATATTTAAATAAAACATTTTATTAGTTTGAAATTTTAAACAATAAAAAATTTTATTTTCAATAATGAAAATTATAGAAAAACATTTTCATAGATCATTAAAAAGAAAATTAACAAGTACTAATTAAACAAAGTATATATTTATATATGTACATATAAATTTATGGATATGTTGCAGTGTTGCCACTATTGGTCTTTTCCGACCAAATTTGGTCGCTTCTTTTTCATTTGGTAGGTTGGTCGGCAAAGTAAGATTTTGGTCGGATAGTTGAATTAAGTTTTTAAATTCTTAATTATAAAAATATATATTTCAAACATCGTTTTAATAAATATTTGCCAATTGTACCTTTTAAACATTTGCCAATCCTGCCTTTAAAAATAAGAAACCTAATTGGTTTGGCCACTGATGTAGGGCTGCCAGACGTCCCGGACATGTCCCGGTTTTAGACTATTTGTCCCGGTGTCCCGGTCCAA